GTCAGTACTTTGGGGTTTGGCTCTCTCAGCAGCAGTGTTGTTGCCTAGCAAAGTCTGGTATGACACAAGACTAATACAGTATGTGTTGGTAAAGCTGATTTTAAATTTAAAATGACAGTCAGTGTGCCCTTTTTAGTAATTTATTAGTCATTAGTTTATACTGATCCATATCCCTTTTGTTTTCCCCACTCAGATGTTGCAAGAGCAATTGAGTTACTGGAGAAATTGCAGGAATCTGGAGAAGTACCAGTACACAAGCTACAGTCTCTAAAGAAGGTGCTGCAGAGTGAATTTTGTACAGCTATCAGAGAGGTACGAATTTTGAGATTTTTTTTCTCAGACTAACATTCCTCACCTGTAAAGAAGAGCATATTTGCCTTTCAGTGCTATGTTGTATGAAGGATGATGGATGTGAGATGTGTCTGTAGCTGCCTGCTACTGTGCAGAATGTTGAAGTTACTGAAAAACAGACGCAGAACAGTTGCATCAGCAGGACATCAAGGCTGAGTCAATTATCCTTGCTGAGGAGAAAGGGTGATTAATTAGTAATTTAGTATTCTGCTCCTGCTGTTTGAGGGTCTGTGGTAACCTGTACAGCACTGTGCTGGGATACGGGTACATGCCAGGTTGGGTCAGTGCAAGCTTGAATGCCTCTCCTTTGAGCTCAGGTGTGTGATAAGGAGGTGATGATGAAATCAGAATACAGTGACAACCAAAAGGGGCAAGGCTGAAGTTAACTGAGCTGACAGGAACCTTACTTTGGAAGTCAGTGGTTCGGTCCTAGTGGGCTTTGCTCCTCATGTCGGAAATCCTTGTCATACTGCTAAGAACTGTGATCATTCCACTACCAGCTGTGGTCAAGGCCTTTCTAAGCTCTGCTCAACAGTAGATAAATAGTAATTGTTTTCTTCGAGTCAAGCTAGAGAAGATGCACCACTGTTTTACATGCACACAAGCAGTACCTTTAAATCAGGTAAATGACAAACACTTCTGTTAGAAGTTTCTTAGAAAGAAAACATAGTTTAATACAACATTGCATCAGATATTTTACCTACTAAACCAAGGACTCAGCCTGCCGAACAGAAGCAGCTCTAAATGCCCTAATGAGGGTGACATCTTTTAAGCAGAAAATCTGTAAGAACTTCTGTTTTAGTTTATCTGTCCACTGCCTGGAACTAATCCTCCATTGCTGAAATCAGTGGGGAATCTAATGTTCCCTCAATGGTAGCAAAATTGAGCTCCTGATAACTAGGCAGCAGCAGCAGATTGATTGAGTGGATTGCTGAGTGGCTGGAAGGAAAAAAAGAGGTGAACAGACATTAGTTTAATAAGCAAAATGGAACACACTCTTTGTTTTATGGAACATATTCTTCAATATAGGAATCAGAGAGAGGCTTCCACCTAATTAAATTGAAGTTTACAAGGCTTTTTAAGGGGAATAGTGTTCCCTGACAATAAAAAATAAATAGTGTTCCCTGACAATAAATAATGGCACTGCGTACCCTTAGAAGCTGATATTCTGACTAGTCCTTTCATTTAACCAAACTCAATGCTTCTTTAAGTAACCACAGAGCACAGATAAGTTATGGATTTGTTTGGGGTTTTCTTCAGCCAGCAGAGCCTGGTACTCCAATTATTAAAGGCAGCTTTGAATCTTTGCAGCATCGTTGGTGAAATTTTAACAAATGTATGTTAGTCTCTGGAAAACAGTTTTAGCAGAAGCAAACACAAAATTTAAGAATTAGGAAGTTGGCTTAGAAAAATGCATTCTCAGTTCAATGAACTGAAAGTAGATCTTGACAAAGTCATCTCAGTGGCACAAAAGGACTTTACAGAGAATTGTGTAAAGACAACCTGCATGTGACTGGAACTAGTTGTTACACAAGAATTGAGTGATGATGGATAAACAGTTTTACCAACTTCATAAGCAAAAAAATATATTTCTTATTAAGTATATGTATAACCTATCCTAATATATCACTAGCAGAGAGCAAAATTTCTACACCCAAAAAATTTGTACCATTCACTGCTATGGGTGTAAATTTTTTTTAAGAAAAAAAATCTTCAAATATAAAAGGCCCAATAATAAATCTTTTCATTTAGGGAGAGTGGGAGGATTGACATATGTACATTGCAAGTACTTAAGGTTGTTCAACATGTGACTTCTCTTTTCAGTCATATTAAGTCCTTGATAAATATTTAGACTGTAACTCTCTTTCTTTTCCACCAGTTGAAGAGCTGTTGGAAAACTTAGAAAAGAATTGCTTGTATATTAAAAAAAAAGTATAAAAGCATGGAATATTTTGGTCACATTACATTGTTAGCCATCTCCAATCACTGCAACAGGGCTGGAAGGGTATGTGAGCTGCATCATGTCATTAATCAGGGATGCCCTTCTTGTATGCCCTTCATGTACACTGGAGTTTATTGAACGGCACAGATTTTTCTGAGGGTGTTTGAGTTTGAGGTAGCTAAGGCTAGACAGAAATTTCTCTACACATGTTCTCTTCAGTTGTTTATCTTATCTTAGTGCAAGATGTGAGAATGCAGTAACTAGATTTCAGTTTTCTTTATTAGCACCTACACAGACTAGAGGAGAAAAGTTGTTGACATTACAAGAGAATGTACAACAGTCAGTTGGAAATAATGAGAGAAGTGGGAGTGAAGCAGACCGGGTGTGAGCTGTAGGTAGGAGTAATCAAAATGGAATGAGGAGGTAAGCTTTGTGTTAGTATGCAAATTCTGAAAGAGGCTGCTTTTTATATATATGCAGATATTCAGATCTGCAGTGTGCTGTGTTCATTCTCTAATGCAAGATCTGAGCCTTATTTTCTTTCATCAGAAAATCTAGTAAAAGAGATTAAGGCTGACTTTCATAGTCCTATAAACATCATAATGGAGGAACTTTGGAAAATAAAAATTTTCACTTTCCAGTCAAAGGAATTATGGAAACTGAACTGTCCAGTGATTTTGGTTGTTAAAATAAGTCCCAGAGAAACTCAGCATTGGGCTGAGTGTAGGTAAAAGGATCAAAGATGAATTGCAATATGCACTGTACTAAATAAATGTGACTTGTCCCTTCTACAAGTAGGAATTCTTTAACTACAGAAGCAGGAGGTTACTTTTATGACCTGTTAGCCTTTAAAAGTTTGAGAATTGTTATTAGATGACATACCAATCTAATGTGTAGGAATCTGTCTAATGGCTGTAATTAATTGTATTTATGGGAATCTATTTAGTCAATCAAATTTCAAATTACTACACTAATATACCATAGAAATATTTTTTTTTAAAGTGACTGAGTGAATGAAATGTAAATAGAAGTATTTTAGCATTTTTCAAGGATGCTGTGTTAGGGAATGGTGATAAATGGTTCTCACTTAACTAAATATAAGTGCCACCAACTGAAATGTTCTGTCTGGCACTAGGCAGGAATATGGATTAGCTCTGAAAATAATGGAAATAATTGAAGTGTATAATGACCTCAGTATTTCCTTTTCACCTGAATACCCCTAGACCAGAAAAAAAGTTAACCAAAATCTGATCACACTAAAAGTCAGTTTGGAAAAAAAACTGAATTGTGTTTTAAAATTACTTATTTTAAAAGCTCCCTAGCTACATGAGGATTAATTTATCTTCTATAGCTTTGTCATCTGATCAAACTTTCACAAATCTTGTCCATTATTTCATTAAGCCCTTTACCCTTCTAAATGTTTTTGCTATTTATTTAAAGCTGTTGCTATGTTATAGTCATCTGATTTCCAGGGGATTACTGGAATAAATGAAAGGCTGTGAAAGTGAATGCTCAATTGAACTACTGAGAAGTTATATTTATATGCAACATAGAACCAGACAACCTAATTGATAAAGTTACTTTAATTGTTGTAAGTCAGCGAAAGGAAGTTATAAGAACTGTAAGATAAAGTGAATTTCTAGTCTGGCAAGAAACCCTAAAGACCTGTGGGCATAGATGGTAGAATAAAAAGCTGAGCAAAACACAGTGGATCATCAACAAGAAAATGTGACATGCCTTAGCAGTTTATGTGAATTTCATTTACTGCTAACATCTGATGATTGGTGATCAAGCACCAGGAGAATAACAATACAGTTTGATAAACACTTGCATCTCCTGGTGAGCAAAGTTTTCTTTCAGGTTGATTTTGTGATTTCCGTTTCTGTGTGTTAAATATGTAATATTCAGGTGTATTTCAGTTTTCTTCCAGCTTGCCTTTGCTACTAAATTTTCCATTTCAAGGTTAAATCTAAAGTTTTTCTGTGTGGATATTATTTGAAATAAGATGTGACTAGGGAATACCATTGGTGAAAAAATGCCAAAATTAATCAGATAAAAATGTGGTGTGGCAACCAGACACACAAAAGTAACCATTATTTTATATTGTTATGACTCCCACCAAAATATCAAGTCATCACAGAAAAGCAATTCTGTAGGATTCAGTTGCTGACAAAGGGGGAGCAATCAACACAAAGTACTCTAATCTTGTCCATCTTGTATGGAATTAGTCTTTGGGAAGGCATGTTGTCTTTGAAAATAGTTCAGTTCCTATCTCAGTAGTTTAAAGCTTTTTTTATAAGCTTGCTAGAAAATATAAACAGAGCATCCTGGACATTTAAAGACCCCTATTGACTTACAGGCATAAAAATGGCAATGGCAGAACACTGACCCATATTTTTTATGAGGTCCTGATGCTCCCTAGTCACTTTAGAGATATATTTGCTTATGTTGTACAGTATTAAAATCATAGTTTCATTGTATATTAGATAGGATAATTTAATAAGCTTAGTCAGTATTTTGGAATTATTTCCTTTAATTACTAATTTTCATTTCCATGCTTTAGCAATCTGAACGCCCAGAATCCCAGTGCTGCTGATGTGCAGTGTGTTTTTACCTGGTCATTTCCTCAAGCTCCCCACCCACACTTTCCATTATTAACCCTGATGTATGTCTTTCCGAATATGAAGGGACCACAGGAAGGCTGCTGGGTGGTGAAAACTGAATGTGTCAGTGCTGTGATTATCACTATACTGGGATGCCATGTGTGACAGCAGAAGGTTGGCTGGAACCCTTAGATGTTCATTCACTTCAGATGTCCCAGTATGGTGGTGTACTCCATTTTTACAGGGCTATACTGAATGTAACAATCTGGGTATTAGCTGGACTCAGGCAAAAATCCTCATTAATTCTCATATTCAATTAATAGTTTCAGATTTTAATGTAGGAATCATTTAAGTACCTGTTTTTATTGTGTTTCAAAAATCTTAAAATTTGTTTGTTAAATTTGAAATATAATGCT